ACCTTTCTCCTCCACTCCATTGCGATATTCACTGTTCGTTCCATTATTCTTTGTAATGACATGTATCGTATCTATCAAGAACTGACCTTTCTGACGTGTGTGCGAGCAGGACCATTTTTGAAAAATTGCATGGGGAGGTGGGGTAGGTCACGGAAAAAACTTCATGATAAACACCATATTCAACATTCTACTTTTTATACCCACTCCCATCCGGGGCAAGGTGGCCCAAAAAAGTAAGATTCAAACCCACATGTGCACAACACATATTTTCAATAATACCCCATTTTTTTTGAGGTAGGGGCACCCCCTGGCACATATTTTTATCCGCAAAAAAACCGGGCCAAAAATAATTTTCACCGCAAAAATGGGGTACTATTAGTACCCCATTTTTCAATAATACCCCATTTTTTGGGACCCGGGCGCCCCCTGGCCCAGAACCCGCTCGTACATTCCTACTAACAACAACAGCAGCAGCAACAGCACTCCAAAACACCATTTCACTCCTACACAATCGTCATAGTCTATTACAGCATTAGACCTGTTCATCCACGACCATCCAAATGTACAGTCTGTTGTAGAGTTGTACACCAGACCACACCCAAATGTACAGTCTGTTGTAGAGTTGTACACCAGACCACACCCAAATGTACAGTCTGTTGCTGAGTTGTACACCAGACCACACCCAAATGTACAGTCTGTTGTAGAGTTGTACACCAGACCACACCCAAATGTACAGTCTGTTGCTGAGTTGTACACCAGACCACACCCAAATGTACAGTCTGTTGTAGAGTTGTACACCAGACCACACCCAAATGTACAGTCTGTTGCTGAGTTGTACACCAGACCACACCCAAATGTACAGTCTGTTGCTGAGTTGTACACCAGACCACACCCAAATGTACAGTCTGTTGTAGAGTTGTACACCAGACCACACCCAAATGTACAGTCTGTTGCTGAGTTGTACACCAGACCACACCCAAATGTACAGTCTGTTGTAGAGTTGTACACCAGACCACACCCAAATGTACAGTCTGTTGCTGAGTTGTACACCAGACCACACCCAAATGTACAGTCTGTTGCTGAGTTGTACACCAGACCACACCCAAATGTACAGTCTGTTGCTGAGTTGTACACCAGACCACACCCAAATGTACAGTCTGTTGCTGAGTTGTACACCAGACCACACCCAAATGTACAGTCTGTTGCTGAGTTGTACACCAGACCACACCCAAATGTACAGTCTGTTGCTGAGTTGTACACCAGACCACACCCAAATGTACAGTCTGTTGCTGAGTTGTACACCAGACCACACCCAAATGTACAGTCTGTTGCTGAGTTGTACACCAGACCACACCCAAATGTACAGTCTGTTGCTGAGTTGTACACCAGACCACACCCAAATGTACAGTCTGTTGTAGAGTTGTACACCAGACCACACCCAAATGTACAGTCTGTTGCTGAGTTGTACACCAGACCACACCCAAATGTACAGTCTGTTGCTGAGTTGTACACCAGACCACACCCAAATGTACAGTCTGTTGTAGAGTTGTACACCAGACCACACCCAAATGTACAGTCTGTTGCTGAGTTGTACACCAGACCACACCCAAATGTACAGTCTGTTGTAGAGTTGTACACCAGACCACACCCAAATGTACAGTCTGTTGCTGAGTTGTACACCAGACCACACCCAAATGTACAGTCTGTTGCTGAGTTGTACACCAGACCACACCCAAATGTACAGTCTGTTGCTGAGTTGTACACCAGACCACACCCAAATGTACAGTCTGTTGCTGAGTTGTACACCAGACCACACCCAAATGTACAGTCTGTTGCTGAGTTGTACACCAGACCACACCCAAATGTACAGTCTGTTGCTGAGTTGTACACCAGACCACACCCAAATGTACAGTCTGTTGTAGAGTTGTACACCAGACCACACCCAAATGTACAGTCTGTTGCTGAGTTGTACACCAGACCACACACAAATGTACAGTCTGTTGCTGAGTTGTACACCAGACCACACCCAAATGTACAGTCTGTTGCTGAGTTGTACACCAGACCACACACAAATGTACAGTCTGTTGCTGAGTTGTACACCAGACCACACCCAAATGTACAGTCTGTTGCTGAGTTGTACACCAGACCACACCCAAATGTACAGTCTGTTGTAGAGTTGTACACCAGACCACACCCAAATGTACAGTCTGTTGCTGAGTTGTACACCAGACCACACCCAAATGTACAGTCTGTTGCTGAGTTGTACACCAGACCACACCCAAATGTACAGTCTGTTGCTGAGTTGTACACCAGACCACACCCAAATGTACAGTCTGTTGCTGAGTTGTACACCAGACCACACCCAAATGTACAGTCTGTTGCTGAGTTGTACACCAGACCACACCCAAATGTACAGTCTGTTGCTGAGTTGTACACCAGACCACACCCAAATGTACAGTCTGTTGTAGAGTTGTACACCAGACCACACCCAAATGTACAGTCTGTTGCTGAGTTGTACACCAGACCACACACAAATGTACAGTCTGTTGCTGAGTTGTACACCAGACCACACCCAAATGTACAGTCTGTTGTAGAGTTGTACACCAGACCACACCCAAATGTACAGTCTGTTGCTGAGTTGTACACCAGACCACACACAAATGTACAGTCTGTTGCTGAGTTGTACACCAGACCACACCCAAATGTACAGTCTGTTGCTGAGTTGTACACCAGACCACACACAAATGTACAGTCTGTTGCTGAGTTGTACACCAGACCACACCCAAATGTACAGTCTGTTGCTGAGTTGTACACCAGACCACACCCAAATGTACAGTCTGTTGCTGAGTTGTACACCAGACCACACCCAAATGTACAGTCTGTTGTAGAGTTGTACACCAGACCACACCCAAATGTACAGTCTGTTGCTGAGTTGTACACCAGACCACACCCAAATGTACAGTCTGTTGTAGAGTTGTACACCAGACCACACCCAAATGTACAGTCTGTTGCTGAGTTGTACACCAGACCACACCCAAATGTACAGTCTGTTGTAGAGTTGTACACCAGACCACACCCAAATGTACAGTCTGTTGCTGAGTTGTACACCAGACCACACACAAATGTACAGTCTGTTGCTGAGTTGTACACCAGACCACACCCAAATGTACAGTCTGTTGCTGAGTTGTACACCAGACCACACACAAATGTACAGTCTGTTGCTGAGTTGTACACCAGACCACACCCAAATGTACAGTCTGTTGCTGAGTTGTACACCAGACCACACCCAAATGTACAGTCTGTTGTAGAGTTGTACACCAGACCACACCCAAATGTACAGTCTGTTGCTGAGTTGTACACCAGACCACACCCAAATGTACAGTCTGTTGCTGAGTTGTACACCAGACCACACCCAAATGTACAGTCTGTTGCTGAGTTGTACACCAGACCACACACAAATGTACAGTCTGTTGCTGAGTTGTACACCAGACCACACCCAAATGTACAGTCAGTTGCTGAGTTGTACACCAGACCACACACAAATGTACAGTCTGTTGCTGAGTTGTACACCAGACCACACCCAAATGTACAGTCTGTTGCTGAGTTGTACACCAGACCACACCCAAATGTACAGTCTGTTGCTGAGTTGTACACCAGACCACACCCAAATGTACAGTCTGTTGCTGAGTTGTACACCAGACCACACCCAAATGTACAGTCTGTTGCTGAGTTGTACACCAGACCACACCCAAATGTACAGTCTGTTGCTGAGTTGTACACCAGACCACACCCAAATGTACAGTCTGTTGCTGAGTTGTACACCAGACCACACCCAAATGTACAGTCTGTTGCTGAGTTGTACACCAGACCACACCCAAATGTACAGTCTGTTGCTGAGTTGTACACCAGACCACACCCAAATGTACAGTCTGTTGCTGAGTTGTACACCAGACCACACCCAAATGTACAGTCTGTTGCTGAGTTGTACACCAGACCACACCCAAATGTACAGTCTGTTGCTGAGTTGTACACCAGACCACACCCAAATGTACAGTCTGTTGCTGAGTTGTACACCAGACCACACCCAAATGTACAGTCTGTTGCTGAGTTGTACACCAGACCACACCCAAATGTACAGTCTGTTGCTGAGTTGTACACCAGACCACACCCAAATGTACAGTCTGTTGCTGAGTTGTACACCAGACCACACCCAAATGTACAGTCTGTTGCTGAGTTGTACACCAGACCACACCCAAATGTACAGTCTGTTGCTGAGTTGTACACCAGACCACACCCAAATGTACAGTCTGTTGCTGAGTTGTACACCAGACCACACACAAGCAGCTACTACAGTGTCTACATTGTCAAGTTGCTCAGTGACGTCATGTCATTATGCTGACATGTGTTTGGCAACAACCAGTTATAAAAATAGAATTTTACGACAATCAGATTGACAACACCGACACCACCCTGGTCTGTATGGGACTGTACCCTAAGACATGATGTCATCAGCTCTTTGTCCATATTTGATGAGAAGAGCGTAGCATTGAATGGTGATTGGTTCCAGGTAGTGTTGTTATGAGGTAATGGGGTAGTGGGGTAGGTCCCTCATTATGTGTGTAGTCTACATGTGTGAATGTGATTCTTGTCACCAATGTCAACAACACATTACTTTTTATGGTCTCGGTCTGTGCCGAGCGGGACGACATCGTGCAGACGTGTAGCATATCACGTGACAGCACACTGACACACGTGACGCACACAGGCTGTGCTGCAAACACGAGATGCCGGAGTTCTGGCTAAGGCACACAGGCAGTGCTGCGAACACGAGATGCCGGAGTTCTCGCTAAGGCACACAGGCACAAAGCTAAACCAGTATTGGTAAGTAGACTGCCGTCCGTGGTCTGCCAGACAGGGAGCTGCATATCTTGCCATTTACCACATGCATGTAAAGCACGATTCGTTCAAATATTAGATTAGATCGTCATTTTCATCTGCACCGCTCAGTCGTCCATTTCGCACGGCACAGTCCACTGTTAGTTGGTGGTTTTCGTCTCCGTCCCTTTTCTCATTTCTTGTAAACGTCTTCTACGGTAGTGTTGTTAAACAGTCCCTACCTACCTTTGTTAGTCGTGCATTATCCTTTCCAGTCATTGTTACTCTTTCTATCAACTAATAATCCAGTCTGTAGTGGCCACAACGCTCTCTCAGTGAGTAACAAGTTCAGCATAACGCTTTCCCAGTGAATAAAAGGTTTAGCATAACGCTCTCTCAGTGAGTAATAAGTTCAGAATAACGCTATCCTTATCTAAACGATATACGTATTCCAGTCAGTCCACTCGGCCAACGTGTGAAGAAGATTTCACGGAAAGGACGGTTCACTCAGTAAGTAAAACACAACATGTGCTATAGGTCTATTTAAAATCCCCCTACAATGTAGTATTAGTATCACTGATATAGTATGCCTACTCCAGAGCTAGGTTATCAGGCAGAGTGACACGGTTGAGAGGTAGCGTACTAGCGTGTGTGCACTTGCTTCGTAGAAACCAGTCAGGTACTGCACTGACCTGGTTGCCATAATGGGTTCATTTGCTCACGTTAGCGACTGGATCATTCCATTCACTCCCCTGTTCTTGCTCTGTTACAAGTTATCGTTCTAGCTATCCAGCTAGCTGTGGATCGTTCGGTAGCGGTTCATAACCTGTAGGCCAAAGTCCAAAGTTCAAACAGTGAGTTACTTCTTTGCTGCATCATCCGGTCAAGGCCCTCCGCACTTCCACGCCACGGTTCTTCTTTACTCTTCACTGCTACTTGAAGACAACGTTCAAGGAAGACTTTCTTCAGCTCTTCCATTTAGACTCGCCACTTGTAGTAGTGTTCGTCTATGAGAAGTTCAACTATGACTTTATCCGTATGGCAAGTTAGAATAGACCATGTTTAGAACTCTCAATAGACAAGAGAAGTTCATCATGTTTCCTACATATGGTGAGAAAGTAGAGAAAGGCAGATCGTTTTCAATGTCATCAACGTTACTCGAACAAGGAATGTAAGTTGCAAATGGTGGCACTCCATCTCTTTCTTTTCGTTTACTTCCCATATTTTCGTTAGTAGTGTCGTCTCGTTGGTCGTTGGTCTCCATCTTTGTCTTTGTCCCGTGTCGCAACGCGACGGTCATTCAGGGACCTACTGATTGACCCGAGTCTTGAAGACGAAGTACTTTTCAGTTCTTTGTAACGAAGGTAGACCTGACGAGCAGGAGGATGGATAGGTATTTCTAGTTGCGATCGACGATGGAGATTGTTCGAATATCAAGTGTTTGCTGTTGTTACTGTTCATGCTTGTCAAGTTGAAGTTAAAATTGTTTCATTCATTTTTGGTGGAGACGTACCTTTCTTCGAACTGTCGTTTTCTTCTTGCATGGTTGTCAACGGTACAGAGTTGATGTTGTTTGAGGTGGAGAGCAGTATTCTTTCGTCGATAGTTGTCGTAGGCAGTTGTAGTAATTATTATTATTATTATTATTGACTGGTTTGAGGGAAAGAGACAAACGGGAAAAGTCTGAAGAAAAAATTGACTGTCACCACCAGGACTCGAACCAGGGACCCTCGCTTGTAGCCAGCGATGCTCTAACCACTGAGCTATGGTGTAGTCGTCATCCCAGCAGAGGCCGTTCAACATTTTCTTCAGACTTCGTAACTCACACTTCCTGTGAATCCACACAGGCGGGTGGGACGCAGCCCTCACTGTAACCCACACACTTCACGTACAAACTAGCACGCGGGGAGCCCCAAGTCATAAAATATTGACTGGTTTGAGGGAAAGAGACAAACGGGAAAAGTCTGAAGAAAAAATTGACTATTATTATTATAAGAAAGGTTTGCTCCCCACACCGGAGCTCGCGCTATTCCGCCGACTTTACTTGACACTTGACTATTATTATTATATTATTATTATTATTATTATTATTTAATAAGGATGGCGTAACTCCTCTGTAGCCTTGTCATGATTTCTAATTTTCTTTCACCGCCCACGGCCGCACAAAGTCCTTGGCTACAAAAAAAAAAAAATTAAAGTCTCTCCAAATCTCTCAAAACCAAACTTAAAACTCCTTTCCAAATTTTCGCCCAAGAGGGCCGTGGGCGGTGAAAGAAAATTAGAAATTATTATTATTATTATTATTCATATTATATTATTATTCATAGCTCAGTGGTTAGAGCATCGCTGGCTACAAGCGAGGGTCCCTGGTTCGAGTCCTGGTGGTGACAGTCAATTTTTTCTTCAGACCTTTCCCGTTTGTCTCTTTCCCTCAAACCAGTTAATATTTTATGACTTGGGGCTCCCCGCGTGCTAGTTTGTACGTGAAGTGTGTGGGTTACAGTGAGGGCTGCGTCCCACCCGCCTGTGTAGATTCACAGGAAGTGTGAGTTACGAAGTCTGAAGAAAATGTTGAACGGCCTCTGCTGGGATGACGACTACACCATAGCTCAGTGGTTAGAGCATCGCTGGCTACAAGCGAGGGTCCCTGGTTCGAGTCCTGGTGGTGACAGTCAATTTTTTCTTCAGACCTTTCCCGTTTGTCTCTTTCCCTCAAACCAGTTAATATTTTATGACTTGGGGCTCCCCGCGTGCTAGTTTGTACGTGAAGTGTGTGGGTTACAGTGAGGGCTGCGTCCCACCCGCCTGTGTAGATTCACAGGAAGTGTGAGTTACGAAGTCTGAAGAAAATGTTGAACGGCCTCTGCTGGGATGACGACTACACCATAGCTCAGTGGTTAGAGCATCGCTGGCTACAAGCGAGGGTCCCTGGTTCGAGTCCTGGTGGTGACAGTCAATTTTTTCTTCAGACCTTTCCCGTTTGTCTCTTTCCCTCAAACCAGTTAATATTTTATGACTTGGGGCTCCCCGCGTGCTAGTTTGTACGTGAAGTGTGTGGGTTACAGTGAGGGCTGCGTCCCACCCGCCTGTGTAGATTCACAGGAAGTGTGAGTTACGAAGTCTGAAGAAAATGTTGAACGGCCTCTGCTGGGATGACGACTACACCATAGCTCAGTGGTTAGAGCATCGCTGGCTACAAGCGAGGGTCCCTGGTTCGAGTCCTGGTGGTGACAGTCAATTTTTTCTTCAGACCTTTCCCGTTTGTCTCTTTCCCTCAAACCAGTTAATATTATTATTATTATTATTATTATTTCACCGTCCAATGGCAGAAGCCAATGCAAAGGAAGGGGCGTTAGCCAGCCATGGCAAGAGAAGAAAAAAAAATGAAGGAAAGAAGATGATAATCGGAAGAAAATAATGCATCAGCGGGGTGAAATGTATCACTATGTTGACCATGGTGGAGAGCGGCGAGATAAACTAGCAAAAGAGGCGAGCGAGCCTACAACGTGGCATGACATTTAACATGGTCTATGAACTGTCTAATATTGGATATTGTCTTCATTTCCATGGGCAGCTTGAGCCAATACGAGTATGCAGAGAAGATAGGAGATTTGGTAAACATAGTTGACAAAGCTCTGGGAAGTACTATGCCATTGCGAGTGTCCCGTGCGAAAGTAAACCAATTATACTTGGTGAGATGTTCAGGGACAATGTTCAGTTTAATACGATGGACCAGAACACATGACTGTCTCTGCGACAGGATGGAGATGGGGCTGGTGGAGGCCAAACTAGATAGATCAGTAGAGGGGAAAAGAGTGGGTTTACGAAAAATAATTTTCAACACACGTGTATGATGTATTTCTAGTGTCTGTACAGCAGATTTACTAAGCAGGGAATGCCAAGCAGTGGCGCCGTACAGAAAGATAGGAAGGAGGTAGCATTTATAAAAGAGACGAATACATTCGGGAGACAAGTGGGAGCAGTGAAACATCAGGCAACCTACAGATTTGCTAACTTTGTTGCATACAAAATCTACGTGAGAATTCCAGGACAATTGCGAGTCAAATACAACACCCAAATGCCTGTGCGTATCTACAATAGTAATATTAATAGCCGAATCAAGTCCGGGAAGGGTAAATGTAGGAGGGTGGTCTATTTGAGGGAGAAAGACTATTTCTGTTTTCAAGATATTGGGTTTCAGACGCCATGACAACATCCATTCATGAACAACATTGATTCCAGTCTGAAGCTTCGTACACAGGTTTGCAATGTCAGCGTCAAACTGAATGAGGGCTGTGTCATCAGCAAATAGTGACAAACCATCTATACAGTCAGGTAGATCGTTTATATACAACAAGAATAGTAGAGGCCCCAGTATAGATCCCTGGGGGACTCCCGACTTCACAGGCAGTGGGTCTGAGAGTACCCCTTCGACTGACACTGATTGCGTTCTATCTGTTAGGTAGTCCGTAATCCACGCCAGAGACACTCCGGAAACATTGTACATCGCAGATAATTTAGCTAGGAGTCCACGGAACCATACCGTGTCAAACGCCTTGGCTAGGTCGAAAAAACACATGCCAACATGTTGGTGGTCATGACGAAGGGCCACAATGTCCTGCACAAGGCGTGTCAGCTGCATGGTGGTTGAGTCTCCTCGTTGAAAACCAGATTGGACTGGGTGTCGTCGTTGTCATCGCATCGACAAGAGTTTTTTTGTCTTTTATAAGGTTTTATTATTGCTATTGATGTAGCTCTGAGCTACTGATTAGAGCAGGAAAAAACTGGTCTCTACTCTAAGAAGAGACATGAAGAAGACTAGCGAAAAGCTGCTTGTAGAGCAACAAAATATAAAGTCGGCAAGTTCTTGCTGGGAACGACGCTACATTCGGATCACTGGATCCATACTAGGCTCAAGCGATTCCTCAGGGGTCAGCGCGAAGGCAGAAATAGGCATGCGTGTACAGCCAGAAATGGACGTGTGTACACATAGGAGAGCAAGGGAAGCGCAACGCGAGCTGTAGCAGCCAGAAACGGATACATGCGCAGAAAGGGGAGCACACCGCGACATGCACGGCAGCCAGAAACGGATACATGCATACAACAGAGAGCAAGTAGAGCACACTGCTAGCTGCAGGACAGCCACTAGACATGGCTGGGTGCATACAAAAGGGAATCGCTTGGTGCCAAAAAAGGGGGCACATAAATGATCACGACTGATGTTCGTGACACTCCCCACCAAGAAGAAAGGAGAGAAAAATGAGCGAAAGAATAATTTGAGAAAAATCAGTACAGGAAAGAGGAAAGGAGAGATATGCTTACTGGTAGCGCTAGACGGCATCATCTTCAATGAGACTCTTCAGCGCAATTCTCTGCTTGGCTGCGGCAGCGCGCTGTGGACGAGATGTAGTAGAGTCTGTGACGGCATCAGGTTCTGAGGCGACATCTGCTGTAACACCGGCTGGTGGTGTCGCTGTCACGCTCAGTTCCAGCGGACAGAGTAAGCTGAG